CTCCCGGCTTCCCCGATTCAGCTGCTGGTCAGTTTCAGCAGCAGCTGAATGGGGGAAGCCTGTCCGGCTGCCCCAGCACTTCCTGGTTCCTGATGGTGCCGGACCATCAGGAGTCCCAGAGCATTGGATGCCGGACTAATGGAGTTTTACTGTACTAATTCTCCGTGCTCCCACTGGGGTGAGGGGCAAGGTAGAAAATGTGTGAAAGAGATTCCGCCCTGTGCACAACAATTCCAGATGGATATCAGGGCTCAGCTGGCATGCCCCGTAAGTGCCCAAGGAAAGCAACAGTGGGATTTAAATAGGAGGAGAGGCAAGCCTGGGAAGAGTGTGTGTCTCCTTGTCTTCTCAAGGGGCTGTTCCCTGGAGAGAAATATGCAAGTCCAAGAGTGGAGGGTAGGAATGCTGAGTGTTAATGCACTCGCATGGCCTCACTCTGTTTCCTGGTCAAACGACTGAACCACTCTGCCTTGGTTTCTTCACTTTTGAGATGGGCTAATACCCACCCCTTGTAGCACTGCAAAGATTAGCTATGTTAGAAAGGGTGCTGAAGACAAACCTGCCATGAGTGCTTCTTTGGTTACTATGAGGACATGACAGCACCACGCTTCTATGGCCACGTGTTGATTTTTGCCTCTTCCCTTATCTTTGGTCAGGAGAGAAGACCCTTGTGTCAAGATTGTGTTCAGCTGGTCACTGATGTTCAGAAAGAAGTGAGAACCACCAAGTCCTTGGTTGCTACCGCCGAGCAGCTGTGTGAACACCTGGGATCTAGCTTGGCTGAGGGGGTAACAGAATTTTGATTTTTTACCAAGATAATTGAACTGCTTCTAGTTGTGGCCAGGGAGAACTGAACAGCCCTTTGTGTGGCAGGGGCCATACGTGCTCTGCTCTGGAGTCTTTTTTCAGAGTCTGTTGCTGCTCTTTTCCTGGTCTTTCATGTGCACAGAATGTTTGTGGCTGTATCTGTCCTTAATGAAAATGCTGATGTGTCTCCAATGAAAGTCCATATGGCCTCTACCATCTCGTTCTTCAAATCCTTCCTCCATCTACTTCTGCTCTGATCCTGACAAGAAGTTAACCCACTAACATTAGCTAGACTGAGAGTGAACTGGGGAGAGGCAAAATTGATTGGGTTTTGAAGAAACTGTCTATACGGTGACTGTGTTATCCCTTTGCACCATCCTGCCTACTTGCTTATGTTCATAGATTGGGTCTCTCTGGGGTAGAGGTTGTGGTTTTTTTGTGTGAGGAGACTGCCTAGCACATTTCAAGTGCTACTGAAATACAAAGATATAATAATATTTTTGATAGGGTAGGTACGCAATTTGATTTTATTTATTGTTCCAACTTCTCAAACACAAGGCTTTGGGTTCTAAATGGTTAGGGCCGGAATCAAGAGCATCTGGGGAAGCTAGTGTCCAGCTCCTTTGGTAAGAGGTCAACATTGTTAGTACTGGTCACTTGATTCCCTTAGGTTCATAATGATTGTAAATAGAGTTTTTTCTTCCTTCTCCCTTCCTACTCTTAAAATATAATTGCTGTAAAAGGGAAGCATCCATAATTCTGGACACATGTCAGAGGGGAGGGACAATTAATTCCAGAGTCAGGTGAGGTAATTCTAGGGAGTCTTTAAAAAGTTAGGCCCCAAAATTACATTATTTTCAGAACGCCAGCACTTCACTTCTGATCTCCCCCACTCCCCATGACTGTATCTCTGTTACACCTTTGATAAGGTTTGAAGATAACACATAGACTAATTCAGATTCAAAAGGCTCAGGTCAGGCTGGCTTCTGTGGCAACCATCGTTTTCAATTTTCCAACTCTGCTGCAATCACCTTCTTGATGCAGCAGTAACAAGTGGCATGTGGCACGAGTGCTTTGTTGGTACTTACTAGATGTCTGTCTCTCCCACAGTGCAAGAGCTATGTTCATAAATATTCAGAGTTTGCGATCCAGATGGCGATGCACATGGTAAGCTGACTACAATGTAAAAAGCCTCTTTAGATCTTTTTCTATTCCTTGTGCTGGTTCCTCATCAGAACTTGTTCTGGCAAAAGTTACCTTACGGCCTTTTAACCTTCGGAATGAACCTTGTGGTATTGTTCAGTGGTTAATGTTCTATGGATCCTTTTAGCCATGAACAAATACTAGTGGATTTTGGTTTTGCCACTGTCTCATTTCTAGGTAACTCTGTCACTCTGGATGCAGAGGGGTCTGTGTTGTCAGAGTTGCATCTAATGTGGCTTCTAAATTTTCCCACTCTGTAGACTTCCTCTCCTATATTTTATACTTTCAGCTTCTAGGCAAACAGAATCTTTCACGTATGCACCTGAGTAGGTCCCTCCCAGTGGAACAAATGGAGCATCTGTTGCACATCCCCAAAAAACTTCACAGCTCCGGGGGCACTAAGGCAACTGAAAATTTGACTGGAGTGGTGTGGGTTGGATTGAGAACTATGGAGAAGAGTAGAGAAAAATGTAATGGCCATGGTGGTGAGGCCCTGATGTTGGCTGTAAAAATTGTTGTTAGAGTAGCACTTTGCACTTATGTAGCACTTTTCATTCAAGATCTCAAAGCACTCTAGAAAGGGGGCCAAGTAGTACTATGCTCATTGTAGAGTAGGGGAAACTGAGGCACATTGACTTGCCCGGTGTCACTCTGAGTCAGTGAGGAACAGAAGGCAGGGTTGACTTTTAATGCCAGTTCTGATAGATAGCAATGCTGCCTTTAAACCTAAAGAATTATTTTTAAAGAAGAATAATTCAGATGATAAATTTACTTGAACCTAACCCTATTCAAATTCAAAGGGCTGTTATGGGCTCCTGTTTGGGATGTGTTCTTTCATTGTCATTTGGGGCTGTGGAGACATTTTGTAGAATAATAAGAACATTATTAGCCCATCATAAGATGGGATTTTCAGGTCTTCTCTCCTGAGCGCTCTTGCTCTGTGCCTGTCTGTCTGTGTGTGTCTCCTCCTACTGCCTACCCCCTCTCTCTCAGCTCTCCTCCACCTCCTGCCTCTCTCTCCATCTCTTTCTTTCTCTTCTCCCCCTCCTGCCTGTCTGTCTCTCTCCGCTATCCTCTGTCTCTGTCGGGGATGCATGGGGGGCTGCTTGCTCAGCCAGGCTACTGCAAGGGAGGGGGGTGGGGCAGTGACGTACACAGCCAGGGGGTGGGGCCGTGTACGTCACCACCCTCCCTTTTCCTCCACCACGGGGAAGCCCAAACAGCCCCTTGCGCTGCTGGCTCTCCCAGCGGCCCGGCTGAGGGGCGCAGCACTCAGCTGAGTGCCACAGCGGGAGGGGAAGGAGGGCAGTGATGTACATCAATGAGTATCAGTCATGGTTCCTGCTCTCAGTACCAGGTGTCAGTTAAGATTTCAGCCTAATGGTGATGAGGCCACCTGAGATGTAGATATGAAGTCCTTCCTGTGATGGAGATGAGGATATATGGGTATCTCGCTGCTGGCTCTGGTTATTTCCTTGCTTTAATTCTGATCTCAAGAAGAGCCCAGAGTTTTTAGTTGATTTGAAATTTTCCAACTTTTTTGTTTTTGGGGTGGGGGTGGGGATTTTTTGTTTTGTTTTGTTTGGGTGGGAAGGGATGAAAAGTGCTGTTTTGCTGAAGCTGTTCCACTTTCATTTTTTTAGGGACAATTATTTGAAATCAAAGGTGATTTTTTGATTTGTTTGGTGTTGATGTTTTGTTTCATTTGGTGTTTGAAAGCTCTGATTGGTTCTACTCTATGGTAACCTTTGAGGGTCAGAGCAATAACATGAGGGCTGTGTCTACACTGCACCCCTTTTCCGGAAAAGGGATGCAGATGAGACAAGTTGGAATTGCAAATGCAGCGGGGATTTACATTTTCCCTGCTGCAGTTGCAGGAACATGGTTGCTGCTTTTGTCCGGCTCGGGGCTTTGTCGGAAAAAAGCGCCAGTCTAGACGGGGATCTTTTGGAAAATAAAGCCTTTTCCGAAAGGTCCCTTATTCCTGATTTTAAGCGTGAGAGTCTGTCAGTTTATCCTGATAGTATATGACAAAGGAAATCTGATCACACTATTGGCCTGGTAACCTATCTTCAACCACCATTCCCTCCAAGAATGTTTGGAAAAAACTACACTTGCAGCTGCATTGCAACTGTCATAACACACTGGGTTGTCTATTCCCTCATTGGCCAGTTCTTTATAGAGCCGATATAACTGGATAGAGCCTGTAATTACTTCATTCATATCTCTCCCTCTAGCACCCAAAGGATATTTGTGGCAGAGTTGGATTCTGTCCTTCCCTGAAATCTGAGCCCTTTCAGGATCTGGTACCAGCCAAAGTGATGCCTGCATTCAATACAAAGGAGCCAGCTCAGGTACAATGAGTCTTTCAGTGCCCTCTGCTGCTTTGCTGCAGTAAGAGGAAGGCTTGTTTATTACCATCTGGAGCTGGAGGAAGGGTCAAAGTCAGGCAATACTGCAGTGCACGTAGAAGTCTGACTTTGCCTCTGGCATAAAGTACAGATTTCCTCACTGTTCCTCATTGCAAAACTGCTTCACTTCATAGAGGTGGCATGAAATGCAGCATGGAAGTAGGGCCTGGTCCGTATCAGAACAGATTAAAACTTTCACATTTAAAAAAAATTGATATTTGTTTTGCCAAAAAGTTTTCACTTAACCTTTCCCCAAGCCTCTTTCTCCAGCTCCAGTCATGCCATCACTCTCAGTTGCTTATAACTTGGTTTGTGATAAATAATTCTACAAACATCATCAGATGAACTAGTCCTTATTGAGAGCTAATCTCCGGCAAAGTTGAAGTTTGGCATTGTCAAACTCTTATGTTTAAATGTCCAGTGATCACATGCACATACCTCAGACCAGCATATGCTTTCAAATCCTGGAAAAATAGGGCTGCAAGGATGCTAGAGAAATCCTTTGGTCCAACCCCATGTGCTGAGACAGGGTCAAAAAACCCACCCCGGCATCCCAATGAGGTGGATTCTTTAACCTCCCTTGGAAAACTATTTCACTACTTAACTTTCTACCTATATTGCAATACTGTATTTTCCGGCGTATAGGGCGACTGGGCGTATAAGACGACCCCCTAATTTTTTAATTAAAAGATAGGGTTTCATCTTATACCCCAGCGCCCCTCCGCCTCCTTTGCTCCTGGTGTCCCTGGTCTGCTGGAGACGGTCCCCAGCAGACCAGAGGCACCGGGAGCAAAGCCGCAGCAGCTTTGCAAAGCCTCGGGGGAAGCCGGCGGCGGGGCATCCCAGGCGCGCCTGGGATGTATACCCGGCGTACAAGACGACCCCCGATTTTTGGGGGATGTTTTTTAACATCAAAAGTCATCTTGTACGCCGGAATATACGGTAGTTTTCCCTAATACCTGACCCCAATCTTCCTTGCTGCCGATTAAGCCCATTACTACGTGTCCTGATTTCAGTGCACATGGTGAACAATTGATAAGTCCTCTTTGTAACAGCCCATGACGTAGTAGAAGGCTGTTATCAGGTACCTCCATCTGATAACTTTAATTTTCTCTAAATGAGATATATAGGTTTTTAACCTTTCCTCAGAGGCCAGGTTTTCTAAAGCTTTTATCATTTTGGTCATACTCCTCTGCGTTCTCACCAACTTGTCCGCATCTTTCCTAAGCTGTGGTGCCCACAGTGAAACAATTTCCTCCCATGTCTTACACACTCCTGTTACCACATCCGAGCATGCTATTAGCCCTTTCAACTACTGCGTCACGTCACTGACTCGTTCACTTTGTGAGCCGCTCATATCCCCAGATCCAACTGCCCAATTGGTCCCCATTTTGAAGTTGTACCTTTGATTTTTTTCCCCCCTTCTATCTGTATTATTCAATACAGACAAGTGCAAAGTTTCATCCTGCTGTCAGATCAGTTCTCCAGTTTATCATTTGAGACTTCAGTGCAAAAGCAGTGTCTGTCAGATCACTGGGAAAAACACTGCATGGAATATAATAGGGATGAAAGCAAGAGGGAGCTCTAGAAATGACTCCCCACCCATATGGCTTTGTTTTATATGAGTGTTCTGTTGTGCTTTAATAAATAGGAACACCAGGAACCAGAAAACAACACTCCCCTGTGCAGTATATGTGAGATTGCAGTAAAGGCAGCAGAGCGCATGCTGGAGAACAACAAGACAGAGGTATGTGGCCTGCTGCTGATATAGGGGTGTAAGAGAGCTGGCATGTAGCCCAGACGGTAGCCTTAACTGTGCCCTGTATTCTCATTTCTGTGGGTTAGGAGTTGCTAGGGGAGACACAATTCTGTGAAGGGCTACATGCTGCTTGCAAGCTTCTCCCAAGGCTTGACGCAGGAGTGGTCTTGGCTTGTCATCTCAGTTTTCTGTGCAGCTCTTCCCTCTTGCAAAGCTTTGCTGTGCCGATTCACGCACGAACCCTAACTAGTGTGCCTCTGCTCCCTACTGCAGAGATTTATTCTCTCTCTTCCCTCCACCTGCTGCTTTTGTGTTCCAGGAGCAAATAGTCCATGAAATGGAGAAGGTCTGCTACATGCTGCCCCATGGTGTCTTAGGACAGTGTAAGGACTTCGTGGACTCTTACGGCAAGGCTGTTGTCGTCATGTTGTTGGAAGCCACTAATCCTGAAGCTATATGCATCATGCTGAAATGCTGCCCCAAGAGTAGCCCTTCACACGCTGGTAAGTCCTGGGTGACTGGTATTCTGCCCAAAGCATGCTTGTTTACTTGGGAAGAGTCCCATCTATGAACACATAAGGTACTAGTGTTGTACTCATCTGAGGCCATTTGCTGAAGTTGAAGGGAGGGAGGGAGGGAGCCTTTTGCTGGTTCCTAGGTCTGGGACTAGAGCACAGGAAGCTGCTGAGAACTCTCTCTGTAATGTGGCCTGTCTAACACGCTAATGCTCTGTGTGTCTGCTAGAGAGAAGAGCTCTGGAGCAGTTACCAGCAAACCCTGGCGAGTTCTGTGATGTGTGTCAGATTGTTGTAACTTACATCGACAATGAGCTGGATCAGAATGAGACAAGGGCTCAAATTGGAAAGATGCTCGAGAAGGGCTGTCACTTTCTGCCACAACCCTTGATAGAAAAGGTAACTGCAAGTAGCTATTGTGGGTTGGCGGGTCGGATGCCCCCATCCATCTGGATAACATTGGAACGGCTCTCAAACTTTCCAGAGCCCTTTCAAGAGCCTCATTTGTCTTGTGTACCCTCACATTTCCTCAAACTTAAAAACTGCTCACAAAATCAGGCATGAAAATACAAAGGTGTCTCAGCCCACTGTTTATTGAAAAAGTGTTTCCTTTCTTATTTTTACCATATAGTTATAAAATAAATGACTTGGAATATAAATATTGTACTTGCATTTCAGTGCATAGTATGCAGAATGGTATAAACAGTCATTGTCTGTATGAAATTTTCCTTTGCACAGACATGACCTAATGTTTTTTATGTAGTTTGTTCTAAAACTAGACAAGTATCTAGATGGGTTGATGTACTTTCTGAAAGATCTCAGTATACCCCCAGGGATATGTGCACCCCTGGTTGAGAGCCACTCTTGCACCCTGTTCCCAGTGACTGTGGCCTGTCTGCTGCTCCCTCCCTAATGCTTTATACCTATAATTTTAGATTATCTATTCTAAAATCCATCTGGGAACAAATTCACAAGAACTGAGGCTAGGCATTAATGTCTGAGTCTTCGCAGTGGCTTCTGTGCTTGAAATAGCTGATTGCCTCCATCTCCAGCAGATTATATTTGGAGAATCAGTAAAAGGTTCATGGACTGGTGATTCTGCTTTGAAACTGGCCACAGTGCAGCTGGGATTCTGGAATGTGACTTAGGTCTAAATCCTGCTGGGATTTCTCTCCTTTTACTCAGCATCAGCTACTGTTCCTTTTTGACCAAAAATAAATGGTATGTGTACAGAGCATGCTGGTCTACTGCAGGTCAGAAGGCAGCCCTTGGCCCTGGATCTGTGGCAGCAGGCAGCCTGCTTCGTAATCAGAATTTGTGAGTAATATAGAATGGACAAATGTGTAAAGCCACCTAGTTCAGTATCTCAGCAGAGAGAGGTGCCTCACGTTCTAACTCGGATGTACGTCATCACGCCAATGAAATCTATCCTATATTGGACTTGAACAGCTCAGATACAGTACAATGACCATAGTCGGAGTGGTGTGCATGGAGACATTTCAAATCCTTCTCTTGAGGGTAAAAGGAGCTGGTACTTGTCCCATTCTGAGCTATCAGTAGTCTGAAAAGCCACTGTTAGGTAGCAGTGCAAGTTTGTGTATTCTTTTGCATTCTGCTGTCTGGGTAAAAGCTGTCACGCCTGCCGTCTTGATGCCACACTGTTACATGGAAGGGGAAAGTTTACACCAGAACTAAGACCATTTGGTTGTGTCTATACTATGGCACTGCTGCTGAGAGTCCTTAGGGTCTGTCTACACATCAAAGTTATTTTGAAATAACAGCATCTACACAAGCCAACCGATATTTTGAAATTAAATTGAAATAGCAGAGGGTTTATTTTGAAATTGGTAAACCTCATTCCATAAGGATTAATGCCAATTTCAAAATTGCTATTTTGAAATAAGTGGTGTGTAGACACTTATTTCGAAATAGGGGGCCTCCAGCTCTTCCCAGGGTGCCCTGCTGGCCACTCTGGCATCAACCAAGAACACTTCTCTCCCTCCCCCACCCCCCGGAACCCTTAAAGGGGTTGACTCTGGCCACAGTGCCTGTGCCAGCTCCAAGCCTGCCAGCCCAGAGCCTGCAGTCAGTGCCCCTGACCCAGTGGCCCTAAAACATGAGCCAGCAAGCCACTGGCAGCCAGCCCTCCACCATTCCCCAGGAGCAGTCTGCCAACTCCCAGGAGCATGCCAGGGCCCGGAGAAGGTGGGCACCTTCCTGGTCCAGGGCAGAGATCAGGGTGGACCTTATTCAGTGGAGAAGGTGGGTGGCTTCCTGATTCAGGTTTGGGGGGATGCCCCCAAAGCCCATAATCTCCACACTAGATGGGGGAATGCAGCCACCTATGGCAGGATAGCTGCCATCCTGGCCATCAAAGGCAACATGCGAACCCAGGAGCAGGTTTGCATGAAAATCAAGTTGGTCTGGCAAGACTCCCAACCCTGAGCTTCCCCTCCACCTTCTTCCCCCTTCCAGCTCCCTCTTCCCAGGTTCCCCCCTCCCTTTCCTCCTCTCTCCCACCTCCTTTCTCCAGTCTCACCAGTTATATCCCCCCCCTCCCAGTTTTGTTAAATAAAGAGAGTGAGTTTGTGTTCATGAAAATAAGTGTATTTTATTTTACATCAGGAAGGGGGGTTAGGGAGGGGTAAGTGGAAGGATGTGAGGGAGGAATGAGACACAAGCCCCTAGTGGGACAAACCAGGGAGGCTCCTAGTGCTCCTCAGGGTGGAAGCTCTCCCGCAGGGCCTCCTGGATACTGACAGCCCCCCGATGGACCTCCTGGATGGCAGCCTGCAGAAAGTGCTGTCAGACTCGCAGCAATGTGTCCAAGTGCCCAGGGGCAGCTCTGGCTTCATATTACAGAGTGCTGTGGTGTCCCAAGTGAGGGCAACCAGAGACAAAATGCTTTGCTATCCCTCATTTAGTTAGGCAAGCAGGGAAACCTGAGAACCGGCTGTCTGGGGGCAGGTCCCTTTAAGCACAGGCCTCAGAAAGCCTCAGGCAGCAGCCACACAAAGTAATTCCTGACCTGATGCCCTGTTGGACCTGGTTCCGGGCAGCCTTAAATGCGATTCAGTATCCACTCAGTGTGGACGCGCTATTTTGAAATAGCAAAACACTATTTAGAAATGCATTTTGTGTGTAGACACGTTATTTTGAAATAAGATATTTTGAAATAATGCGGCAGTGTAGACATACCCTGACACGTTCATAGCATGTGAGTGCAGGGCTGACATCTGGCTGGCTCCTGCACAGGAATGCAAGTCTTTGTGCTTCAACATAAGGTCATAGAAGTGTCCCTCTTCCTTCCCTTTTCCTATCTGCCTCACTGCATGCAGAGAGTGATAGTTGTACAATGTGGTGATGCCCTGCACGTTTCTAAAGCTCTGAATTATTCTCCCTAAGTGTCTCCTTTCTAATCTCAGTGGAAACTTTGCTTTCTCTCTAAAGCACAAGATAATTTGGCATTCCCTGTTTGAATCAGGGCACTTTGTCTTTGTCTCGTGATGGTCCAGCAGAGTGTTCAGTCTCATGTCCTCTCTTCTTGTTGCAGTGTGATGAGGTTGTGCTGGAGTATGAACCGCAAGCCCTGCTACTCCTGGAACGCATAATGGAACCGTCTTTTGTGTGCACTGTAAGTAGTCCCTCTGCCACATGCGGTGGGGGAAATACACTATCAGTGTAGCTGTCTAATTGCATGGTCTCGTGAAAGGACAGTTGTTCACTGACTATTGGCTTTTGGCCGGGAAAAAGAGAGAGGTTTATAGTATTTACCTTTTGCAAAGACTAATCGTTCTTCTCCCTGCCCCATGATTCAAATGCAGGAAATGTAGCTGTCATGTAACACAGTGGCTGTGTCTAGACTACATGCCTCTGTCGGCAGAGGCATGTAGATTAGACACATAGGCAAAGGCAAATGAAGCCGCGATTTAAATGGTCGCGGCTTCATTTACATTTACATGGCTGCCGCGCTGAGCCGACAAACAGCTGATCAGCTGTTTGTCGGCTCCCCCCCCAGCTCGCCG